GGGTTAGGGTACGGTGAGTTCCAGGTATTGTTGCCGTCGTAGGATTGCCGCGGTCGTGAGCCGTTTTGACGTCCGCGACCTCTGCCCCGATTTCCACCGCCACGGCCTTGTCCTCGTCCATAGCCTCCACGTTGCCCGGAGTTGCCTTCCCCATAGCCTATGCCGCCATGCTGTCCGCCATAGCCGCCGGGAGTACCGCCGTGAGTGCCGCCTTTGGTGTTGCCGCCGGCTCGGTCGTGAGAAACGCCGTGGTGCCCGAGTCGGAGGGACTCGTTTGTTGTCGATCCAGCAGCATGAGGGCGAATCGAACCTGCAGAAACGTGGAGGGACTCGTCCTGAAATTGCATGAATGATGTTTGTGCCTGGAGATCGGCAGGGAGACCACGAAGCATTTGAAGAACGAGTTGGTGTTGGGAGACTGGTGCATCGACATCATCCAACCAGTCGGCAAGGTTCTGCAGTTGTTGGCAATAAGCTGCCATGGTTGAGTTACCCTTGACCGTCGTGCGGAATTCATTCTCCAACTGCATAGCTCGGGCATGTTTGTTGTCGTGGAACAAGTAGTGGATGACTTTCCAGAGAAGAGAGGCAGTAGAAACAGAGGAGATGACCAGATCTGAGACCTCATCAGTGATGGTGGAGAGGATCCAACCCTGGACGAGAGCGTCGAGTTGGAACCATTCGTTGTCGTCATAGAAGAGGGGGACGACGGAGCCATCGATGTACCCCTTAAGGTTGAAGCACCGAACCAGAAGAAGGAAGAGTCGGCTCCACTTTTTGTAATTAGGTTGGGAGAGACTGAGTGGAACGGGGACATGAAGTTTCACATTTGAGATTGTTGTGAAAGCAAGATGAGGAGGTTTGGAGGAGTTATTTTGGGAAGTAACCTCGTTGTTTTCGGCCATGGTGAGGGGAAGAAGAAGACCGCCGAGGGGGAGAGGGTGTCGCCGGTGAAGAGAGCCGCCATGGGGGGTCGGCGCTGACGCCGAGAGAGAAGGCCGAGAGAGAGAGGGGGGGTTTAGGGTTTTTGATTTTTAGGCTCTAATACCATGTAGAAAAGTTAATTTCATTTATTGAATATGTGGGAGTACATGTCTATATATACACAAGGATTCCTAATCCTATACAAGGTAGGGGACAATAATAGAAACAATATATTCCTAATCCTATACAAGGTAGGAGACAATAATAGGAAACAATATATTTACATTAAATATAGAATATATTTAACAATAACTATGCATTATGAAATATATTTTTAAAGTATCTATCCATCCATACTTTATTTAAAAAGCAATGGATTCTCAATTTGGTTTTCCTGCCCATTTGATGTTCTAACAAAAATGGTAATTATTCACTCCATATGGTAATTACTCAATTAAAATGGAGTTACACGGGTCATTAATGGAGTTACCAGAATTGAGTAATTACTCAATTAAAATGGTAAGTAATTTAAAGTAATAATAAAATTTTCAAACATAATTACACTTACCGTTAATATAAACATGTATTTTGGTAATAAAGTATTCACACACTGTAACGCCACAAAATATGGCCTAAAATTTATTATAAAACAAAAGTAGTTTTTATCCAATAAGGAATATTTGTACGTTTGACTAAAAATAAATGGATTTTCAAAATAATGACTTTTTGTTAAAAAATTGTATTTATGGATATGTCTCGAAGAGACGAATCCAACGGTACATTTTATAAACCAATCTGATTTGTAGATTTCAAGATATGTCAATTTTAAATAGTAAAATTTGTAACTTTGACCCATAAAATAAACTAAATTCAAAAGTGATTTCATCAGATTAGAAATCATAATTTTGAAACTTGACAATATCATATTTATAATTTGGATTTAATTCATATATTTTTATCTCATTCATATAATTATATTAAATTATGACTGAGACAGACCCGGACACTGAGAAAAATAATAGTTCTCAGAAAAATATTTTGATTACGTCAAAATTCTAGTTTTGATAGTCTGATTCCAAAAATACAATTTGTTTTCAATTCGGAACAGTTTGGGCGAAAAAGCGCATACCGTTTTAGTCAGTTTATCAGTTACGGAGTAAGAAAATAAATTTGATTCCCCAAAATCCTCCAAGTCACGTAGAGACACTCCCATCCCTTCCAATCCTCAATCAAACCAACCCCACTACCATATACCTCCAATTCCTTTTCCCTGTAATATCACCCTACCACTACCATCATCATCATAATCTTCACCATCATCCACCATCATCAACATTCATCTTCTCCTCTCCATCTCTCCCTCTCTCTGTCGGCAGCAACAAGAAGAAGAAAAGAAAACTCCAACTCCATGGTAGTATGTTAAGGAAGAAGAAGAAGGAGCAAGAAAACCATCCAAAGTTTCCAAATTTTGAGTCCAAAAACGCAGCAGCAACTTCAAGGTAAAAACTGAAATTTTCCATCCATTATCTCGAAATACTTCTTGAACCAAAGTTGTAGCCCCGGACGTTACGAATCCAACCCAACAAACGGCTCGCGATTTCGTTAAGTAACGAAGAAGATATGGCCAAAATACCGGGACTGCGCCAGTGGTGGCGAGCTCCTCGGGTTGGCATGTTTTTCTTCACCAAAATTCATATTATTTCATCCCAAATACTTACCATAAACTCTCTAACAATTATTAGGAACATCCGGAAGGTAT